ATGTGTGTGTTATTACTCCGTAAAGAATAGTAATAACACAAAGCACCTGCCAAAATGCATTGTGAAATAGCAGGATATTAAAATCGAAGTTGCGCATACAGATGTATAAACAAACGGAAAATGCTGAGTTTTAAATTATATGTTTCATTCATAAGGACAATAGAGTCAACTCCCGAACATACGGAGAACGAACTCCACAATTAAACTCAATATCACTGTTAATCCGAAAGTGGTTAGAAACAAAAGGAAAGAATATTAACCTATACTAGTATTATAACAAAAAATATTCGTAAAAATGTACCTGTATTTTTAAATTAATGTGGAGAATAATTTAATTTAGTTTCGTAAATTAAACCAGCATTAAAACCGAAAGCAGTTCTTGTGTAACAAAATAGCATTTGAAAAGCAGAATATACAATAGGCGCCGTTTAATGTGATCGCGTTTGTCCATGACTACTTTGATAACATTATTAAGCGACAAGAAAATTATTCTTCAAAATATCAATGAAAGGTATCCAAATTAATGGTAAATACAACTAGAAACATATAAATATGTATTTTGACAGTATTATAATCAGAGATAAATTACTATTAGCTGGCTATCAGGGATTGTTAAGGAAAAGTTCATTTAGAAAGAACTCATTATATTTCCGGAAATTATTCGACTGACATCTTCTTCTTCAGAAAGGTTATCACACTATTTTCTTGGATTTCCTTCAAAAGCAATAGGTAGCTATCTTCTGTCAATCATGCTGCAACTTGAGTTTTTTAATCAATATTCATCCAAGCATTAAATTACGTTATCTGCAGAAAAAAAAAATCGTATCTCTTAAAATGGTTGTAAACGGCTCTAATAATCTAAATAGCTATTGCGTGCGTACGGGTTAGTGATAAATTGAAAGTCCAAGTCGATCAAAAAATCAAATTTATTATTATCCCAAGAAATAAAACAAAATGCTGAAATTTCCTGAGAAATATTCGTACAATATGGTAATACGTCACAGTAGATATATTTCGAACTACTAAAACGTTAAATAGAATTAAATCCAAAACAGAGAAAGCTAATCCGACCTCACCGCGAATTCGCTACAATCAATAATAGCACTAAGTAAACAAATGAACTGTGATTTTTAAATCCGGCTTTTATAATCTTTTTAATCAAGCACGAGAACATTCAGGTATTTTCCTGATTTTAAAAGAGTACAATTACGAGATATCCATTTACCTAAATTTGTATTTGATTTAATTTGTATTTAGTATTTGATAGCATTTGATTTGTTTAAAATTACTTATTGCAAATATTGTTTATGTAGTTATTGTAATGTAATTTTTATTATTGCATTTATGCCTTAGTTGTAAGTTTGGCGCGTGCTCCTGTAATTTTAATGTTTCGGCGTAGCTTTCTCTTAAAACTCGTCACGCATTGCACTGCACGGGGGAAATGAAATAATTTTAATTACAATTCTATTGAAGATAGTAAACTAAATAAAAAAAACCGTAACACTGCCACCTTCCCAAGGACTGCACGTCCTGGGCAGTACAATGCCTGGACAGGAAGCCAACAACTAAGAAATAAATGCAATAATAAACATTACATTACAGTAACAACATAAACAATAATTGCAATAAGTAATTTTAAACAAATCAAATGCTATCAAATACTACATACAAATCAAGTCAAAAACAAATTTAGGAGCGAAAAGGACCATGGATCATTAATTCGATTCTTGCGTCGTTGCTGGGAAATGGTCTTATTTTCCGTACCCTAGGCTCTTCCGCAGTTCCTTCGTACGTGGCCTTCAGCTCCGCAGTTCCAGCACTTTTTTCCGGTCTTTCCGTTTTCGTCACACGTCATTTAATTGTTTGTTTAACTCATCTGGGCTATTTTCCGTGTTCTGTGTGTTCTGCTGTTCCTTCGTATGTGGCCTTCAACACCGCAGTCCAGCACTTTAGATATGGTGTCTTTTCTCTCCTGTTCCGTCTTAAGACACTGACTGGTCTTGTCAAATCATCCGTTTCATTTTCCATGCCCTGGGGTGTTCTGCAATGGCATCGCATGTGGCCTTCAGTACCACTTTCCAACACTTAAGAGCCAGTTTGTTCTCACTCCTACTCCGTATCAAAGCATTGACTTGTCTGGATAAATCACCTGAACGAGCCATCAATTGATCCACTGGCTCGTGGACACGCAGAGCCCTGACTGGGTGGAGATCTCTAAGAGTTGCTTGCTGGACTGCCTCGAATTTCATGGCGTACACTAGAACGCTTTTCAAGTCCTTGACATCCGCCATTCACAGAACTTTCTGTATTTCAGAATCCGGGATGCCGTCGTTAAAGTACTGCAGAGAGAGGATTTCCCTTGTTTCTGTTGGACACTCCGAAAAGGCGAGGTGAGATAGGGTAGCCTTTCAACATCCATGGCGAGCTCCTGGATTGTTTCAGTTGGCTTCTGTTGACGGGATTTTAATTGAAGCTCACTGTAGTCTTTTACACATTTCCTCGCCAAAGCGCAGCTCCAACGCGCAGGACAGAGCTTCAAAATCTAGCCTTTTGTTTTCGGGAAGAGTCCACTGTGTCTGCTCTCGAAGTAGCGACATGACAGGCTTTAGCTTCGTGATCCCATCCATTTGCTTCCGCTACTTTAGAAAACTGTGTCTTATATGCTTGCCAAGAAGTCTTCCCATCAGATGTGGATAACTTCATGGAGGAACGAGAAGGCACAAATAAAAATTTAAATCCATCAGAATTGCTTCCTGCTGTCGCTATTCATTTCTTTCAGGTGTCAACTTCTTTGTCGATTGCAGAGACTCTTTCATCAATTTGTTGTTCAACGGCAGAAACTCTCTCTTCTATTTGTTGTTTCACAGAAGAACCTCTTTCTTCAATGTGTGCAACTTTATTTTCAACCGCGTCAATTCTGGCTTCCATAGCCTCGAATTTATTTTCTATTATGCAGGTAATTTCTCTTTTCATCTTCTCTTTTCATTCTTTACTTGCTTCAGCCCTTCCTTGCGTGGCTTTCATCCCTTTTTTAACTCATTCTTGATTAGTTTCATCTCTCATTTAACCGAATCTTTCATGTCTTCTTTAAATGATGCTTGGCCAGCTTCCATCTTTTCATGGAATCCAGCAAAAGCAATGACGAGCTGTCTCAAGTGTTCTTCCATCGCTCTTGTGACTGGCATTCAAATCCCACTTCTGACACCAAAAAGTATTGAGTTCGTACGGATTCGTAAAGGATTGTATGCACAAGTCTATAAAAAGCTAATAAAATTTATTATTATCCCAGAAATAAAAAATGCCGATATTTCCTCATAGATATTCGTACAATATCGCAATATCTCACAGTAGTTATATTTTGAACTACTACAACGTTAAATAGAACTCGATTCAAAACAAAGAAAGCTAATTCGATCTCACCGCGAATTCGTTACAATCAATAAAAGCTCTAAATAAACAACTGAACTGAGACGTTTTAATCCGGCTTTTATAAGTTTTTCAATCAAGCACGAGAACATTCTGGCATTTGTTCGATTTTTCTGGATAGCAAAAGAGAACAGTTACGAGATATCTATTAGTCCACTTCTGTTTCTTAGAACGAGAATTCTATAGGATTCAGTGAATAAATCTCCAGTTCGGAAACGAATTTCATGTTCTAATACTATTCACAATAATCAGCAGTGAGATGCTGGTCATTTAATCTCTTAATGTCAGAAAATTTTCCGAAACTGATGTTTTATTCTTTCTTACGTACAGATGAAAACATTTCGCTTTTCCGTTTGTTTACACACTCTGAATGTTATGTTCGAAATTAATTTCGAGTTCGGGGGTCCAACCTTTTGTATTTCATGTCTCACAGTAAGTACAAAATTTTCCTAAAGATAAGTATAGAGACCAGATAAACGTAGAATAAGTTAGCTTTCGTCATTTTTACAAAATTGACTTTTAAATGCAAAATTGCTAAAACAGAAAACTAGCTGAATTTGAAGGTCAAATGGGCAAAATTTCTTGAAGTTAGGAATAAAACTGTAGATGTGTATGAATTACATGCACAAACAAACAGACACCCTCTTTGTAAATATATAGATGATTTCAATGAGTATAGCTAGTATACGGTTCCTCTTAGCTATTAATAATAAAAAATGAATTTGCGTTTATTGTTTCTAAATCACTTCATTTGTTAATAAGAAAATCAATTTAACAGGAAAATTAAATACCTTACACTTATCTGAGTGACTAAACGCTGCCGCGTGGAAGATAAAAATAATTTAATTCACGCAGTGGCAACACTATTGAGTAACCTTTGTTTTTTTTATTAAAGTCAAAAGACACATTTATTGCGAGTGGCAGCATACTTCTTTTACACCGCCAAGTTTTATGATTAAATTTGAAACGTAAATATCTTGCACTTTGCAAAGTGGCAACGCAAAGATTTTCCCCTCACTGATGTTACTTTTTCTTCCCGCTTTATATGATAGATAAAATTAAACATTGTTGAAAGCATAAAAGTAACTCCCAAGTATCATCTGCTATGCCTGCAATTCAGTTGCTTTGTTTTTCGTAGTCTGGTTTATTTTAGCAAATTTTCTGTCGTTCCGCAATAACCAAACTGAAATTTTTTTTAAAGATGAAGCCCGTTAATCTATCATCGGATAATCGGGATAAGGTGACTGTATTTACGTTATTGTTAAATTTATTGTTTTTATCGGTTAATTCCCTCCCTTATTTAAGAAGATAACAGAATTTTAATTTTTTAAATTCAACCTCTGATAAACAAAACCATTGCAAAAAACGAATTGTGTGCAATTTTATCGCTTGTCTTCCGGAACAATGCTCGAATTATCGCAACCAGAAACTTTATGGAGTCAACTAATAAAAACAAAAAGTATCTGAAAGGATAAATCCGCTAGAGTGCGAGAGATGGCGCAGCCTTCGTTGACTAGAAAAGCTAAGTTACCCAAGCAATGAATCATTGGTGCGAAAGTGGGAGCCCAGTTCCGAGTTGTCGTTTAAACAGTCTCACAAACTCGACGTCGTAACCCGACGGTGTAGACAGTGTTTTTCGGGAAACTTATCCGGTAAATTGTCACAATTTCTTTAAGAAGCATTCAAAGAATCTGAAGACATATATTTTCTCCTTCTTCTTATAGAGCGTTTTTTAAACTGTTTAAAAACTTTATCGAAAGTTTTACAAAACAATGTATAAGGCAATAAACTATATGGAGAACTGTTAAAAATACTTTTGAAGATTTTTCAGAGGTAATTAATTGGCAAATTTATGTTTGCTTTGATGAAAGAGTTGCGCGTTTCGATTTTAGAATTCTTTCCAGTAAAAATAATTTTGTGAGTTATTTCAGGAACACGATTTGTAGTGTTTTGTCTGATTCTACAAGTAACATCCGAGTAACAGCTGCAAAAATAAGCTGGACTTTCTCTCAAGCTGAATTCGTTCAATAATATGAGAAATGAAATTTCATGTTTAATATTTAATTACAAAGATAGGAAAGTTTCGAATAAGAGTGAGTAAATGTTTATGAATAGATGAGTTAAAAACATTTTGTCAGTAAGCATTTTTATTCGAACAATGTTATAAAGAAATTATTTCTCATATTGTCTTTGTACTTTTCTGCTGTTTTATTACACTGCAAATTTTAAAATGTGGTGTTTTTTGGAAAGCAAAATTATTATATTAAATTCAGGTTTGCTTTTTAAAAGATCGAGTCAATTATAAGCACGGAGTCATACCTAAAATAAATATATAAGAAGTTTGTATTTGGAAACCAACAAAAATACAAATAAATTTGCCTTAAAATAATTGACAGAAAAGTCGTTGAAGTTGTATTTTCTTTAAAACGTTTGGCATAGTAGGCTCAAATGAACTGATAAACAATTTTCTATAGGAAATACGTAAAAACAAATTGTGCCAATAAGACTTTGTCACTTAAAAAAAAAGTCGGTTCACAGTGTTCAAAATGATTAAAAAATGACTGATACATTTTGCTCTGAAGTCTGGAGATGCTGCCAATTTTAATTTCTTCCATGTATTAATCAGCGAAGAGACATTTAAATGCTATTGCTCAGTTCCAGTAAAGCAAAAAATAAAATTGCAACACCTTTAGAGTTAATCCTGGCAGATGATAGTAGTTTTTATCTCACAGGACTAAAATTAAAACAGTTAGTGTGACTATTGAAGTTAAATCGCATTTTAAAACGTTTTCAAGTGTTTAACTTATTATTTCTTTGTGTTTGCACCCCTGCTATTTCATTCAACAAAGAACAAAAAAGACTAATTACCATCTACAGACAATGCTATCTATTCAGCACTTTTTAATTTATATGTGGGTTCTTTTCAAGGTAAGTCTTCATTACATTTTTACTAAAAAATATTTACTGTCTTAACGTAAAAAATGTCTACAGTATCGTCTTTCCATCATTCGCGTCACATTACGTTATGCCACCGCAGCATTAGTCATCCAATCAGCTTTGCAAATATTTGCATTGCGAATACTGATACTATTTTTTTATGATTAATTTATTTTTGAAATTTTAGCTCTGCATTGCTTATTAGCCATAAAAATGAATTAATTTATACTTTTAAATATTTTTTATATAAACATTGGTAAAAAAGTGTTTTATTAATATTCTTCATAATTATAGCTTTTTATGGAAATATGAGTTTCTGCGTGTTATTAAAAGATATGTTTAGCACCGTACGTTATGCAACTCCGTTGTAGAATTACAATTTGATAATATATAAATAATACTACATTTAATTATTTTACATATTTTTTTTAATTTTGGGGAAACAAAGATTTTCCTTTTGTTGTTTGATATTTGTTTGAAAATCTGTTCAATTTCTAATGAAACTAATTTCTTTTATACAGTTTAGATAAGGACGTAATTAAAAATTGTGTTTTACTTTGTTAAAATACTGATAGAAAAATTTCTTTTTCTTACCAAAAATTAAAAAATAATTAGGTTTCTAGATATGAAACTAATCGTTCTGCCTTCCAGATAACCGACTTGTTTTGTTATGTTTGGTGCGCTATGAAGATTTTTGCGATTCACCGAAATCTTCGTTAAAAATAAAGTTACATTTAAAAATTATTTAATTTATAATAATATTTTCCCCATTTTTTTAAATTAAAATAATTACGGAAATATCTAGAAGAGATATTTTACGTACTATATTACTAAATACTAAGTTCTTAGTCTAAAAGGAATTATTAAGTTGAATGTTGAATTATTTTTTAAATGAATGAGAAACTAATATATTTTCATATATTAGCTTTCAATTAAAAACAGACCATTACAGAACTGAATTATGAAACCATGACAGGAGAATAAATAAAATTTCCTTGTAAGATTTTAAAATAAATAATATTTCTCAAATTTAATCGATATACGTTTTTATTATCTACTCTGCACGTGCTGTGAAGAATTTGCTCTTCGCATAGACCTGAAAATTTACGAATATTGCTCTAATTCTTGTTGTCTGAACACCTCTAATAACCATTATTTGACATGCTGTTTTAGATCAAATTTATATAGAGACATGTTTAATTTTGCACTTAAAATCAGTAAGTTATTTCGTTGATTTTCTTGCGAATCTTATACTGAAATATATTTTTCCTGTTAAACTGGGGGGAAAAGGAATAAAGAGCATAACAATAGTATTCACTTGTACATATTTTTATTGTTTTGTGCAAAGTTAAGCACTGAAGTTTTGAAAGCAATTTTGGAAATATTTATTCGATTTTTCAAATTTTGGATCTAATTCTTGATTACATGTTTATAAATCTTTACTGTAAATTTCAAATCGATACTATAATTACGAAATCTATTAAATGTGTTTCTGCGAATATTCAGTTGCATTGAAAATTTTAAATTACACTCTTTAATTCAGTTTTGTCAGTGTTGTGTGCTTCATTGATTTAAAATATTCAGATCTTTAATATTCAAAAGAAAACTGATCACATGGTCTAAGAATGCCACGGCCCTTGCAGTTAATGTATTTAAAAACTGTGTTTTTTTCATTAAACTATGGAATTTTTAATAGCTATTGCAAAGCATGTAAGAATACACCATGAATTAAAATCAAACCTAAAAATCAAACCAAAAAAGATAAAAGCGCTTTTTTTTAAACACTCACTAGTTTGTAATTAAATATTGACAATAATACCGCAAAACATTGGGTCGTACCATTTTAAAAGTTATTAGTTTTAAATATGCTTTTTTAAATATAAAAATATAACATTTTGGAAAACCTAAAATATTATTTTTTCTGATATAAATATTGCAAGATAATGAGAGTTAAAAGAAAACTAAAAGTTCAATCATTTAAACTCATGAATATAATTGTAAAGAAAGTAACTTCAGCTGCATCGTAGTTTGCCTAATTCACCAGAAAAAATGAAAAAAGAGTATTTTTCTAATGACCCTTTGTTTATCTTTGAAAGTTCAGGTTAAGTACTTACTGCTGAATCTTAACTTTCTTTCCTAAAGTGAAACATTTTGCAAATTCCTTATATTAATTGTTCTCAAAGTTTGATTGTTCAGTTTTGGCACATTATTTAGAATTTTAGAAGCAATCTTTCATTAACATGAAGGTTTTAAATTACTGTTCATTGAAAGTCAGATATAATTTATAAATAATTTAAGAATAAATTGAAATTGTGAACTATGTATAAGTTATATATACTTTATCACTGAATGCATTATTAGTACAAAAATAGCCAAATCCTCACAAAAAAGATAATTTTATTATTATGCGGATCATCTGGAGATCTTTCCTAAGCCTCCTGTAAACGCTTACGATGCTCTTTCCCGCTGCTTGTTTCCATTATCGTCACATCATCGGAACAATCTCCTTCAAGGTCACCGATGTAGATAAGAAATAAGTCAAGATCCAGGATAAATTCCTATAGAAGAGCATTATAGCCGAAAAAATCCTTAATGAGTTAATAATTCTGCTTTTACAGGGTCGATTGGACACAGAATAACCGTCTCAGGAAAACGGGAAAATGGCTAAGCGTAGTGTATTATAAAAAGTAAATAACCTGAAGTGAAAATCCAAGCACCGATAATAAGCTCTTTTAAGAATCTTAATCAGAAAAAGTTCTGATTAGGACAGACAACGGGAATTAGCAAAACAACAGGAATGTCATATCAACCTATCAGGCAGTATTACTGAAAATGCCTATGAATGTTTCGTAATGATTAGTAATAGTAAAAAATTCCGAAGGTATTAATAAATAAATAAAATGTAAATAAAATACAATATGCTAGCATACCTTTATTTGCAATTTATTTTTGTATTTATTTTTATCTTTAACTATGTTTTTTATTTAGCATTTATGTAGTTAAATACATATTTGTTGCATCTTAGATTATATTTAACATTTAAATTGTTCTAAGTTTTTTAAAAAAGATTTGAATCGAATATAAACTCGTATACTGAATGTGGCATTCAGAGTTACACAATATATGAATGCTCGTTATTAACGAAACATATCGACCTTTTCTCTGTTACATTAAAATAAGCAACATCAAGATCATTCCTCTTCCCTCATAACTACGGTAATGACTGCTGGGGAAAATGGTCATGTCCTGCAACTTGCTAAAACCTTCTAATCCCTTGTGTGCGCTAATGACGACATAACGTTATCATCATATTATATGAGGGAAGGATGGTAGTATCTTGAAAGAACTACTTTAAAAATAACACAGTCGAATATCTTAGGATTTCTTATTTTTATTTTATTTTATTTTAATCTATTACAACAAATTGCATGAGTGTTACTTGCTTAAGATGATTTCCTATAGTGGGTGAATTTCTAACAGGGCCTGTTTCATATTCACCTTATTCATAAAATTGGGTTAGCCTATTTGGATACGGTAAAGCATTCAAGGGCTATTTTTCTAAGACTTTCATGGAGGTCTTTATATGGATGTTTGTAAATATATAGTGTCTGTATGACATTGGGGCACTCAAAATACGAATGGTTTAGTGGTAAGAAGAGACCTCCTGACCCATCCTCCTTGGTGCTGCCCTTCAAAACTGGGATGGAACTGGACAAAGTCAGGCGTACAGTCATTTATATAGTTCATGACAACGACAAACGCAGTCTTACATTCCTTGTCATGATAACGACAGGCTCATGACAACGACAGATGCAGTCTTGCAGTCCTAATCAGAAAAAGTTCTGATTAGGACAGATAACGGGAATTAGCAAAACAACAGGAATGTCATATCAACCTATCAGACAGTATTACTGAAAATGCCTATGAATGTTTCGTAATGATTAGTAATAGTAAAAAATTCCGAAGGTATTTCTTTTTTTGAATCTACGGTAACTTTTCGTACTTACCTCGGCACGAAGCTCCTGAGCTACATATCGCTGAAATCATATAATGCAAGCTTATATGCCTGTGAGCAGAAACTGTTTGAATCTTTAGTTATCTATGAACGACAATGGCAAGATTGTGAAAGTATTTTTAAAGGCATGTTGATTTGTTTTGCGACTGTTAAATTAATGATTGCATCTGAAAATAACAGCGTTCGATGCGTAATTTGGCTTGGAGAAGTAACCGAAAATATTATTATTATCATACTGGTTTTAGAATCGCTCGGAAATATGGCACAGAGTCATGAAGCCTTTATAGTACGCTGAAAACACTAACTCAACTTAGACTTGCTAATTTGTAGGGAAATTTCGCCTTTCTTACTGCATGGCCAGCTAGCAATCTGGAGGTCTGAAGTTCAAATTCCGGAGAAGGCATCTTGACGCTTTATGTTTCTCGTCTTTGAAACATTTAAAAAAAATTCTATAAGTGACGCTCCGACTAAAATGCGGTAGAAAATTATCCGGCACCACCTGCATTTGACTATTAACTCACCTCTTCTTTAGTCACTCTTTAAGTGAATCAGAATGCAAGGAATTTTCTTCTTCCTCGTCGCGTGCCTTCATGATGTAACAGGAAACTCATCCAGCTGGCAATCGGAAAGTCTGGATTTTGAATCTCGGCGAAGACATCGTGTTTATTTCGGTTGTCTGGCTTCAAAATAGTCCTAAATGTCTCTACGAGCAGAAGACGAACTAAAATATGGTCGATGATAATTCGTAACCAGCCACCTAGATTTGGGCAACTTTGTCCTAGATTTGGGACACCTAGATTTGGGCAACTTCCAAGGCCGATGCTTAAGTGGAGAAGAATATAAGGATTTTTTTCCTTCCTTAAAATTTTATTCCTTGCTCTTCACTTACAGAAATACAGAAAGTTCTGTGAATGGCGGATGTCAAGGACTTGAAAAGCGTTCTAGTGTACCCCATGAAATTCGAGGTAGTCCAGCA